TGGAAGACTCTGCCTATGACTCGCACTGTAGTTGCTTATATATTTGCGCTTCTCTGTTTAAACAAAAAACTTGAACTTGTCCAAAATCATTTGACTGAATGATTTATATGAATTTTATTTATAGACTTTGGCCAGAATAGAACAGAACAAAAACATTTACATTCGATGTAAATTGGCTGTTCGTGTCGAGGCATTTATTTAATTATTTATTTATAATTAAATTGTTTATTTAGCCGCAGATGTGGTCTTCGCCATTTCAGTTGGCCAGGAAGCCAATTAGTTTAGCTCTATATGGCCTAAACTATTTGACGTTTCTTGCTTGCTTGTTGGTAGCATCTCTAAGCCATTTTCCATATGGCTTGGAGATCTTTATCGCATCACCTTTGACTTGGTCTAAGGCCCGTAGGAAATATCAAATATCAGCCAAGTCAGTTAATTAAGCGATCACTGAAAAATGTTAAATCCACTGAAGATACATCTGATCTTGAGGCGCAGGAAGGAAGCACTCGGAACCACTTTCAATTCTGCATAGTTTGTAGATTTTTGGCATTTATTCCTATAAAGGTAAGGGGATTATGAACTTGTTCATTTGGGAAATATAAATATCTCCTGGCCTCATTGAATTGGTATGGTATTAGGGCCTTTAAAATACCATAATTAATTTAGCCTTACCTTTTCCAGGCCCCCCTTTAAATTTATATAATCTCCATGCTGCGCTCTTTTCAATCTGCAAAGAGTCGCCTTCTGTCTTGTCAGTCAGCCAGAGACAACGCAATATTTTTAAGCCAAGCTCGGATTGTGGCATTTGCTGTTGTTGGGGCTCCGTTTAATCTTTTTGGCTGCAACATGTAATAGCTCTTTAAAAGGTTCAGAGCCCAGGCGCACTCTCGCCTCGCAACTCTTGAATTGGGTCAGCAAAGTGTTATGTGTGCAACTAAGTATTTACTTATAGAGCATGTGAGCATGGAACATGGAGCCGGAGTCTGGAGCCGAGCTGCTTGCCAGCTAGCTGGTGGGGCATGCCACACACTTCAGGTACGGGAGATGAACACTGATTGGACGGGGTCAGAGTTTACGGGGGCTAATCGTGAGCCAAGCCAAGTACCAACCAGGCCAAATTTTTGTTTTTTTTTTGGCAAATAGTTTTTGGCAGAAACATAGTACAATTTATGACTCAATTTGTGGAACAACGTTAAAGGCTTTGAGTATTTATTTATATTTAATTTCTTTATATTATTAAAAATATGTATTTAATATTTTTTTTAATAAGTTAATACCTGAATTTATTTATAATTTCAAGGCTTCCTATGTGCCATAATTTGATGTCATCATTGTTTTTAACACCCCTGCTGAAACAATGATCCTGCTTTGTGACCAAAAGTCATAATACCTGAGGTTATGCCATCAGCCCACACTCCCAATATCGGCCAAATCGGCCAAATCTAGCGCGTGGCCAAAGAGCCAATCTCTAATTAAATATTCAAAACATATTCCCACCATAAATGTCTCATAAATACACGATTTTTACTCCTTTTTTATGTTTTTATTTATTTGACAAAAAGGGCACGTACATAACTTTGGCAAATGCAAATTGAGGCGTAAATCAAACATAAAATCGCACTCGAAACACTTGTTGGACATCGGTATGCCAACATAATCTCTTGTTAGATAGTGTGTCGGGGCAGTGTTCTATATAGTTTGTGAACTATTTTATAAATACAAGATTTTTAAAGACAAAATGAAAGGAATGTTTCTCTGGTAAATATATTTGTCCAACAATAATTTTACATATAATTTCAGCCCTTTTGGCTAATGGAAAAGTGAGGAAAATTATGCAATTAATGTATTGTCAGGCACTTCCCGGAGTTTAAAAACAGCTGTCTCACCTGACTAAGTGGCGGCGCCGGAAGCCACAGGCAAACGTCAACAGTTGAACCTTTGCCTATTACCAGGGCGTGTCTCTACAACCCAAAATACATAAATATAAATACGAATCTCAACAAAATCCTCTTCTTCATGCTTTTCGGCTAATTAAACATTTTCTGTGTCTTATACTCTTTTAAAAGGTATATAAAATAACTTAGCTGAGCATTCAGAAATAAAAGTAACTTTAAGAAATACATATATTTTAAGATGAAAATATACTGATTGCTCAGAATAAATTGTGAAATAATAAAAATAAGTTAGTACAAGCTTAGTAAAAATAATAATTGGTGATTTAAAAAAAATGGTTGAAGAGTTTTACCTAAGAACTATAAGATATTTTAATTAAATATTTAACATAATCAGATTCCAAGAAAAATCTAAAGATCTAAACACTTTAAATTACTCCAAAGTGTATTTAAATATTTAATTCCTCAAAATTTTCCCCTCTTGTTGTATTTTTTTCTTCTGTTTTTTGTTTGGTAATTAGTCAAGCATGCATCGTCTAGTCAAATTCAGGAAGATTGTCAAAACACGTACCACAATTTGTTTGAGGAAGCACCCAGGTGAACACACAAAAATACTTGCTTACCTTTTTTTTTTTTTGGGTTATTTTTTTCGATTTTATTATCTGTATATTTTTAATTTTTATTTATATTTATATTATATCTGCTTGTGGCACGTGGTGAACCCAATGATAGACTGATAGATACGGTCACGCCCATTTTAGTTCCCATTAGTTGATGAATTAATGTGTGAAGTCCCCATATGCCAAGTCGTTGGCCTTTGAACTTGTCTTTAAGCCACTTCATTAACGATTATTTTGGAGTTTAAAAATAAATATAAATAATTACAAGATATAGTTTTTCGAGGTCTTTATTATTTGATATATAAAAAATGTCCAGTTAAAAGGAATATTTTATTTTTTACACACACATCTACACCCTAATTGGATTTTCATAATAAAACTCAGGATAAATCACTGAAAAAAAGCCCCAAAAATATATGGAAAAATAACACTTCAAAGTCCAATTTGTTAGCCCGTCGACGACAGCCCACAACTCGTGCCATAACTTTCAAATGCGATTTGTCCAAAAATTTGTTAGCTCCAAAAAAAAAAGGCCTCTGGAGATAGAGAGCACTGAGAACGGCGTGACAACAGTTGGCCATGCTTCCTACCAACCGAGAGTGCAACTAATTCGCGAACCGAATCCCCACTCCAGATCCAGGTCCAACTCCCAGCTCCCAACTCCAGCTTCAAATCCAAATCCAATTTCAATTGCATTGCGAATGCGGCAGCCAGAGCCACGTTTTTGAACTGCCCGACCCCGAGAGGGTCAAGTGGCGCGTGTAGCGAAAGCCATGGCTAAGATCGCTGCCAGCAGTAGCCTCTCGGGCACACAGAAATAAAAAGGTAACTAAATAAATTGTTTAAATTATGCTGAAATGATTTTTTAAGAAAATAAAAATGTATAATTTAGGCTCCTTTAGGACATATTAATTGCAAAGATTAATGGATACTTCTGCTGATTATTTCTTTCCGTGCAGCTTGAGCCACCCACCGAAGGGCTTCCACCGAGTTCGTTCTCCAGACTCTCATGACCAGATCTTGCCGCTGTTCGCATTCGATCTTCATGCCCGAGTGCGTGGCGAGACCTTACGAGAGCGTCTGAACTTGACATGCATATCATCTGGGGGTAGGCCCCCTCCATACGATCCGATCCCCAGCCCAGTCCCAAACCCAAACCCCATATGCACTGGTCCAACTGGTATGTGCGTGCTGTAGGTAGGGTAGTAATCGGTCTAGACTGCATTGGGCCCGTCCCACGTTCCACCGTACAGCATTGAGGCATCGAAAGTGTGTGCTGTTCTAATTAATGGCTTCATTAGCTCACCGAGAGAGCATCAATGACACCTTTTTTGCCGCCTTGCCTTGCCCGAGGCTAGAAGGTAATAAATGCCTCATATAGACACCTGTAAAAAAAATTAATGCCGATTTTAATAAGCGCCAACTTCAGTGCAAGATCCATAAAGTTTGGTTCAATGGCACACTCATTACGTTATAGCGTTACGTTCTCGTAGAAAAAAGCCGGTTGAAGAGCGAACCTCTGGCACGTAAACAAAGCCGGTTTCCAAGAGCGCTTTTTGGTAAGAGAGCACAGAGCAGAGTTGTCGAGGTTTGAACAGTGATACCTACAATAAAATTACAATAAAATATAATATAATATTTCCCTTATCTTAATGTTAAATTTTAACAAAGTAACCCTCAGTTTCAAAGTCTTTACAAGGCCTTGGAAAGGGGTGCAGTGCAGGATACGCAATGACTTCATTTGACAGCATTTAATTGTTATTAACATTTATAATTTGCAGCTCCTTTTTGAGAGAGTGCCACCATAAATCAATATTTATTACAATGACTTAAACATCGAGTGTGTAGGTATGGTCATTGTAATCCATAATAAATCCATTTATTAAACTTTTTAGCCCGAAGAGCGGCTCTGGTTAGTTTCTCTTTTGGCCAAGACTGAGTATCGTCGAGTATCTTGTATCTCTAAGTTTTCTTACGAGTATCTCGCAGCCTCTCCGCAGCGCGCTGACATCATCCAAAGGCCCAGAGAGACTCCAACCGGAGGGAACTAGAGCCAGGTGTCGTAGCCAGGTATTTAATGGACGCGCGAGCGCCAAACTCTTTTAGTACAGCGTTGGCGTGCGAGACAGACGGTTCGGTTTCTGGTCGCGAGTTCGAAAACGAGTTGCAAACGAATAGCAATCCACCGCGAGTAGACACTACCTACCTTTCGGTGCTTAAACAAAAAATAGCAAATAAAAATACAAGTATTTAAACCCAGCTGGAACAAAAAACAAGAGTAAACAGCAAACATTTCAGAGGGACTGCCGAGTGCGCGCGGCCAAGCGTTGAGTGCGAAGTGCAAGACGAGCGAGTTCAAAACCACTGAGCTCGTTCCGACAAACAATTGCAAAGAAAGTGAAAGATCTGAGAGACAAAAGGAAAAGTCCGGAAAAAGGGAAAACCTTTTCGGGCAGCCCCCCTTCAACCGCTCCGTCAGGTGCCTGTTCCCCTCCGCCTGCTTTCCACCTGCCTAGAGCTGCTCCAACAGCTGTTACACTCGGACAATCGCCCACTGGTCGCCAGGAGATCACAAAAAAAGATCATTGAAATTTGTATTAAAACATTTTCAATTATTTTTTTCTCTCCAATGCCTGGCTGACTACGCGTTTCTTTGTATTTATTGAGCAAAAAAATATTAAAACTTAAAGCAAAAATTGCCGTATACCACGCGTTTTTTGTGGAATTGCCATTGATTCATTGAGCCCCTTGTCCGTGTGCTTCTCTCTGTGTGTGTAAGTGTGTGCGAGTGTGCGTACGTGTGCTGCTTGGGGGAAAAAAAAAGCGGCCAAGCGACATTGATGCCAATCGCCAGTGCATATTTGTTGCTACAGCCGCCGCTGCCGGACCAGAATATAATGAAAATAAAGTCAAATAAAATATAAGCTAAAACGCCTTCAGTGGGCAAAATAAAAAGAGATATCAATGCTCTCCGCCTAGCCGCCGACAGGTACGTGCAATTCGTCTGTTTTTGATTTATCTCCACTGAACTTTTGGTCGCTCCGAGCCATAAATTGTCGTATGTATATAGTTTTTGCATCGATCGAGACTCGCCAAATAGCCGAAAAAAAAATTAGGTGAGAGGAGCCAAGCCGCCAGACAAATTGTAGCTGAAAACCAACAAAATACTAATGAATGTCTAGATAAAGTCGATGATGCAATAAATTGGTCAGGAAATGTGTGTATTCTGAAAAATGACTGATTAAGTAGATGACTGAACAGAAATTTGAGAATAAACAAGTAAGCCCCTGTTAAAAAAGGTGCCTTGCATTTATTGGTTATATATTTTTATAATTAATTAATGAGAAAACTAATAAATAAATAATTTCTTAAAATATGTATACTTACAAAGAAACTTGTAAATATTTGTTTGATTTTCTTAGAATTATTGTGCTTAACAATATTAGTATTTTCCGTTGAGGTCATTGCCATATTTTTTACCTTTTCTTGACTTTTTCTTAATTTATTTCCTTATTCACAACTAACAAACAATTCAGCATAAAGAGAAAAACAGATATACATTCTCTTTTATACCTAGAAACCATTCTCATAATTATAATTACAATTTTCGAAACCATTTCTCCATGCTCCATTTTGAGGCACCCTAACAATAGAAGAGAATATTCGTTATGCTTTTCCTTTGTCCAATGTAAAATGTTATTTTTCTCAGCTAATTATTTGGTCTGCAAATTATCTGATATGAAATTTAGAATACAATAAACCCAACCCAAAAACCATAACCCTAAACATATAAATGATTCACAATTAATATATTTTTTTAACAACTAAAGTTCAATGATTCTAGTGCTGAGCATGAGTTCACTTATTGCCGCATTAGTCATCAGAATGTCCAGGCTCGATCTCAGTTCCATATTCCATCCACATGCCTTGGATTTGGATTTTGATTTTACGTATTTGCTGTGGTCAACAATTCCAGCATTCGAAATCTTTTCAAGTTAACCGACTTATGGTTATATTTATGTCTATATCGTATGATTTTTGCGGACGACAAATGTCGCATTAGAGCTTGTGGCATGCATTAGTGCAAATTACCATTTGGGGGCTCAAAAGGTGTTGGCCCCAATTGTCACCTCCGGAGAGATATTGAAACGGAAAACTGGGTGCGGAACTCAGAGCTTATGGCATATTGCATTACCTCGTCAAAAAACGCCACGATAATACTTGATTTCTTTACCTATACATTATTTTTTTCGTGGGCACGCGCCTTTATCGGTCGAGCTGAATGTCAGAGTTAGAACTTGAGTTGCTTGTGGCAGCTCGTGGAGGTTGACATTAAGACCATTTCAACACCACAGCGAGATACTTTTTGATTAGGCTGAAGTTATACCAATGTGTCAACAAAAGGATACAAATATCATAAATAATCTGCACACAAGGCAATCACCAAAAAAACCCTGAATACGCCGAGATATTTCGCAAAAATCTTCCGAAATCCATAATGAAAAGAATTCAAATTAGTCGGGCCTTTCACATTCGGTTCATTTTGTATGCCGCAATCGTTGCTGACACTTTATTTTGCACACCCTTTTTGCCCAGAAAAGGTTTAATGCAGCAGCAGCCGAAAAAATGTATTTTTTTTGTTGTATTTTTGATAAATTTTAATTAGATTTTTGACACCGAAATGTGTTTCTATTGTTGTGTCAAATTATTATTGTTGAAATGGCAGAAAATCAAGCGAAATGACAAACCAAACAAAACGAAAACAGAAACGTTTCAAAGTCATAATTGTTAGCTTTGCCTTTTATGGCCGAGGCAGATATAAAATTCTTTATAAATCATTTTCTAGCTAATGTTTCCAATGAACTTTGCCAGGTCGTTTGCAATTCGTTTGCATATATATATTTATCTTTTGGCATTATTTTTTCATACAGGATGCCGCCATGCTGTGATTCATAGAAAAGTTGGATATTTAAAGCCTGGCACAAGGTCTGCTTCTGGCAACGATGAGCTCAGCCCGCTTAATGTTATGTTCAAAATGTTCTCCGGCTGTCCTTTCATTTTTCATCATAGGCAGCCTTAATTAAACCATAAACACCTCAAAACATGCTACCATATTTAACACACAACAGAACCCCACACGCGGTCTCTTGCTGGAGTGGTGGTGGTGGTGGTGGTGACCCACCCATCACAATTGGCAAACGGGCAACCCACACGACACTATTTTTTCTCGATTCATTTTTTATTTTTTCCAAGACAATGCCAAATCATTGAGCAGCCAAAAACTGCAGCAAACAAACACCTCCGCAAGACAGACAGCCAGCCGCAGCCACGACGATCCATTGAAGTGGAGTGGTGTGGAGCGTAGGGGCCCAACCTAGAGACATGTTTAATCAATTTAAATTACCTTCAATTAGGCTCTTTGTTCGCGGTCTCTTGGACATGGCGAAAAGTCTTCGAAGAGTCGGCATCTGCATAAGCAGAAATGCAAATGAGGAAAATGCCACCAATTTGTTTAGATTCCCCGAGTCCAAGTCCGAAATGGATGCATGCCTATCCAACTTCAAAGTTAGGCAATGCTGGCAATTAAACATTTAATAGCTTCATTCGATATGCATAATGGACAGCGTATCGTGGACGGGGAGGGGAACTGTAGTGGGTGTCGGCATAGCTCTTTTTGTGTTCATAAAAAATGCTAATTTTCCATTGAGTCATAAAATAATTTGTTGAGGAGTGCGGACAGATTGGGGAGGGTCTGAGGAAATTGTGATTAGAATTTATTGGGGTATCGGTTGAGTATCGAAATGGGTTTTTAAGCTGAACATAAACCGAGACAAAGTGATAAATAGTTGTCTTTCGATTTGTGGCCAATAAAAAAATGTTATAAATTGTATTTATTTCTTGTATCTCGATTGTATCTCATTAATTAAATCAAATTAAAATTAAGTTATACAATTCTTTCACTTTCTGCAAGTATTAAATTACACTTTCTAGTATTAATTATAATAGCTAGACTTATGATTATTAAAAATTTATAAAAACTACATACTTAATTCAGCTTTTTGGATTTTCAAGATGTCAATAACCCTGTAAAAGTAAATCGCATTAAAATGCCAAAAGTCTTAACAGAGACATCAACAAATTGTTTTCCCAGCCAGTAGAAACGAAAGACTTAGGACACAAACTTGGACAAGATTGCATTGCCATTGAATGCATATATAATTAATCTCTTTATCCAAATGCTGCAAATGCCACCACTCTCCTCTCAGTGAAAGTTGCTTCAGGTAAATCGTCTAAAATATCCAAATGTCTTCGCTCGTCACCTGTCACCCCATTCACCCTCCTCCCGAGCGGTACCATTTAAATGAGCTATCAAATCGGCACCCCACCAGCGCAGTGAGTGTGTGTGTCATTGAACCAAACAAATCAAAGCCGCTTACCAACAGTCACACAAAAACTCTTAGTTTACAGTCGCCTGAAAGCGATCAACGCTCAGGATTGATGACAAGCGGCAGCCAGCAGCAGGCAATGCCACATGACAATTATCAACGCGGCGGCACATAGTGTCATAAACCAGAGGAGGCAGCAAAAAAAATGTATATAAAACTTCAACTAAAACCAGAAACCAGAGCCAAATGACAGCGAACAAAAAGCCAAAATGTGTTTATTGACGTCATTCCGCGGAATCAACAGACCGACAGACAGGCAAAAAAAAACACACTTTTAATGTGGAGAAAATCCAGGCACTCCGTCCGGGTTTTCGCGGGAGGATCTGGGGGAGCGGACAAGCCGGCTGGCTGGCTGCTGGCCAACCACCGCCACCCGCTGGGCCGTAACCAAAGCCAAAGGCAAAGCCAACGCCAAAAGCTGCTTGCGAATTGTAATAATTGCAAACAATTACTGCGGCTCTAAAGTGAGGTGGAACAAAATGAGAGCCAAAGTCTATCAAAGACTAGGCGATACCCTTGAAAAGGCCAGCAGAGAAGCGTGGTGTAAGACATATCAATTACCTGAAGGAGAAGAGAAAACAAGACTATTAAATATTTGAACTTGAACTTTTATGACTTGACTACTTTTAATCATTAAATATCGAATTTAAATGATTAAAAATAAATAATATCCTGAAATTTTTTTAAAATAAAATCAATACTGGAACTCTAGGATATGTAAATGATAAGCTCAAAGCTTAAATTACAACCAAATCTATTGAAATTTATCATAGAAATTCTAATAAATTCGAATTCTAATATTCTACAAACTTTAAAAGTTAAAGATATTCCCAAGACACCCCACAGCGACTCTAGTAATGATGATCATTCAACTACAAAGGCCTAACGATACCTAATACCTCTTGCTAAAAAATCACTCATTGGATACCATTTGGCGGACATCAAACTCGGGCCCATTGTCTTGTCTTCAATTTTTCCGCAGCTCGTGGAGCATATTTGCTCCGATCTGGGGGTTAACTTCTTGTGGCTATCGTATGGGTGCAGGGAGGCCATATTAAATCCCATTAGTTGAGAGAGGGTTCAGTTCGGTTCAGTCCTGACTTGGCTCCTGTCGCTTGCTTAGCTTTTTGTTTATTTTTTTTGCTTGGCTTGCATAAATTATGTTCACGATATTCTGTTGTTCAAGAGGGACGTCACCTTTTGGCTCTCTTTTCTTTAGCTGTTTTTGCTTTTTTGGGGGATTTTCGGACCTGACTTTAAGTGTGGTGCTGCCAATTACGAGCATGAAGGTCTTTGACTGCGCAATCTCAGCGGCCAGAAAATTTGTAACATTTTTTTCTTTTTATTGTTGCTGTCTTAGTTTTAAGTTGATGTTATTTCACTTTGGTTTCACTATTTCGTTTATGACTTGTTTTTCATGGTTTTAATTTGTTCGTCGTTGCTTATCCCATGGAGTAAAGCAATTATTTTATTTATTATTTCTTGCCCGTTCCTCTGAAGCGATTTTTTCCCCAATATCTGTGAATGTTTTTCACGCTCTTGA